CGAAAGACTGGACATTGTCCTTCCAGCCCACTCCCATCCCGTACCACTGACAGGGGGGTACCGCACCGGTGTTGTCTTGTACATGTACATATCTAATCTGCTTAAGTGTAGTAAAAAATGTGAAAATGAAACAAAAAGACTGTTAAAGAAACCGAACTTGATCAGTGACAGTGATGATGATAACGACTAACTTTGATTACATTTAAAGTACAGGGTAACTGCGTAATTTTGATTTTCAATAATTGATTTACTTCAATAAATAATTTTTGTCTTAAATCTATTTCTGTTAGCAAATTACACAATTATAGATATGGTTTCTTTTTAAATGTTTGTAATTCGGCCTTAAATATCTGAACTAGAGGTTTACAGCTACCTAGCTGTAGTAAAAATAACGTAGGGTCTAATTGAAATGGTTTGTTGGTGTGGGTTTATGTCTTAGTGGAAAAAATCACGTGGTTTCAATGCGATTTACAAAACTACGGACATAGTCTGGTTTCCATTACTTCATAGACATATTGCTCAACCAATGTCAAACTCCAACCTCGTGGGTTTTCTCCGGGTCCTCCGGTTTCCTCCCACTGCTAAAGACCCCTACGCGCAAGCGAGTTATTGAAATAAAATTTAAAAACCATATGTTAGTCCCGAGATGACCTAGTTTGTGTCGAGTGGACGTTAAACCCCATTTCTCTCTCTCTCCAATGTCAAACATATCTCCTTGCTCTTCAGACTAGGCGCTCCGCCCATAATTTCTGGGTAAACACCCGCTCACCATGTGACCCCATTAAACAGGCATTATGCAAGAGCAAAATCTGCTTATTACAAGTCTTTCTTTAGGCCTGAAATGTTATCTAAATTATCAATTAGACATTAATTAACTTATCCAGACCATAATAAACTCTCGATGTCAAGGCTAGCCTTCGATGTTGGCTGGATTAGATTCCTATATGCCGCTAACGGCCATTGATAATTAAATTTAAAAAATGGATAATCGAGACTATGCTGTTTATATTAATGATTTTAGTAATGATGACCGAGACTATGCAAAAATTTCACCCGCTTTTTTCTCGGCTCATTCGTAGTGAATCAATTTGACTGAAATTTTCAGCAAATTACCTTTACACTATCTAGTTTTTAACTATTATAGCGAGAACTGCCATCTCTTTATCTTATCTCCCATAATGTATCTTTAACGATATACATATTGGGCTTGTGTTGCAAAATGTTGAATGTTACGTGTAAATTGGACCAAGTCAAATGTAAAAAAATCTTGTAATACTGACAAATACACAGTTTTTTTGTTCTGTGCATAAAGAATTAATTAGCTCTATTACATCGTGTAAATTGACATCTACTTTTTGTCATTTAACATTAGACTTTTCAAAATTTCCACAACACGCCTATAGCTACCCAGAACTTTAAACTAAGTTTAAACTTTGAACTCTTGGCATCTTCTCATTTGACACTCGCACTAAGTATTGTACCCTTTAACATGCATGTCTTTGGTATCGTAACATAGACACAAAATCAGCCAGTATGCAAATTATAGTTCACGCGGCACCTTTTTTTTTTTTAATCACGTGAGATTACTAGTTTATCCGACCAGAGAGGAAAGTGTCCAACGAACGGACTAGCGAACCTCAACGAAGCCTTCGAAATGCAGCCTGGCAGTATTTCAGGCACTGATCGTCGGGATAGATAGAGCTTACCAGATACCGCCTGACGACAAATCAATATATATATATATATATATATATATATATATATATATATATAGTTTATTCGACAAGAGAGGAAAGTGTCAGAGTGAATCAAAGTGAACGAATAGTCCTTCCGCGTTGAACCTATGTTTAGCCTCGTTCGTCGAGTCGCTTCATACAAATGGCGCGCGAAAGCATTATGGCACACGATTGATGTGACAATTTTAACATTTTGATTTTGTCAGAAACCCAACTTTTCACGCTAAGATAACATCAACGTTGATTTAAATTGACCATTAAGTCGTGTTTGCAATGTCGGAAATGGGATGATATTGAGTTCAAGACTTGGCTCCTTTAATAATGGAGCCAAGTATCACTTGGATGCCAGCCGTGCTGTATTGAATTTCTAATATGTTGTTGAAAACTGCAAATTAATGGTGGGAGTGTCAAACTAGTCAGTTTGTAGATTTACCTTTGAATTGAAAGCAAGAATGTGTATTCAACCTTTGGGTGGGTGGTGACAATTAAGTGGTCAGATTAGGAGTTTGTCCCACGGAAACCCATCAGATTTGATATTTTTAGAACCCACTAATACATAGTTAACATTTGGCACCAGTTTAAGTCTTATTACTTATTAGGCAAATTTTGACCCCATTTGTGGGCGTGGCAGATTAGGCACATTTAATTGGTTAGATTAGGGGAAGATTAGATATTTTTAGAACCGTCTCTTAATGAGCTAAAATTTGGCACCAATTTCAATCTTATAGTTATATGAGGCATTTTTGGGCCTCCGTCCACAATTTTTAGGACAGTCATTCTTCCCGGTCAGCTTTTGCATTTTAAGATTCAGATCGACAAATATTTATAGCACCACAACATTTTAAAACTATTTTTGATCTTATTACTTACGATGCAAATTTTGACCTATTTTGTGGGTGTGGCAGATTTTAAGTTGTCAGATTAGAGATGTGCCCCACTGAAACCAGACAGATTTGATATTTTTAGAATCGGCTCGTACATACCTAACATTTGGCACTAATCTCAACTATATTACCTATGAGGCAAATTTGGACCCCCGTCCACACGTTTTAAGGAAATCTACCAAACAGAGTTGGCTTCCCTTGCAGTCCAAACTATCTCTGCTAACGGCTCATTTGACTACGCCACTAAGATTCTTGGTGTTGATGGACAATGATAAACAATACGATTTCAAACAAATAAATGATAATATATTTAATACTATTACCATATTTAAATAGAAATGGGGTCATAATTGCAAAGTAACAATGTATTTACAAATATTACACTGAACTCTTTCGCGTAATATTACGTAGTTAAATGGATAGCGAGACTTGTAGTGGAGAGTTGTTTTAAGGCAGTCAGAAAAGAGAATGGCCCTACTTCACAGAGTACCCCACTTTTTTTCCAGTCAGATTTATATTTTTTATATTCATGCATTGTATGGCAATATTTTAGAAATAATTCTGATCCTGCCAGCCAAATGCTCCACTGAACCCTTGTAAGACTGGGTGGTTTGAATTTACCCTATTAATAGCTGCCAATTAATATGGCCAAACTTTCTATTACTTATGAGGCAGTTTTTTTTCATCACTGGCTCTTGGTCTATTACTGACAAAAGAAAAAATATGCGACAGCACTTGTTAGTTGCAGTGGACGCATGTTTCGTTGCCTGGCAAACTATCTTTAAATTGGATAAAAATTGTGACCTCTAGATAGATGGTCCACAGGCTAAATGCGTGATTTTTTTGTACAATCAGGGGCCATAATCCAGGAAGTTTCGGTCCGATACGCACAAAAATCGAATGAAACCCAGGTCTTTGGGATATAAATATTTTTTTTCTTCAAAATCATGATAATTGTGCCCTCTAAAAGGTCCACAAGACAAAAACTTGATTTTTCTTACAATCACAGACCATAATCAATGATAGTACACATACATGCCAATAACGAAAGGAACCAAGATCTTTGGGATATATAGAGGATATTTGTCGTTTTGTCGTGAATAACATATTTTATTTCATCGAGAAGCAAGAAAACTTATATTTTCACGAATGCGTAGCATGAGTGAAAATAAACGTTTTCTTGCTTAGAGATGAAATAAAATATGTTATTCACGACAAAACGACAATTGTTTTATTTATTTTATGATTTTACAATCATTTTAGGTAAAAACAACTAGCCAGTGGAATAACACTTTTATTTCACTGATAAAACGCGGTATTCCACTACTGATCATAAAATAAAAACCTATATTTCAAGTTCCGTCAAAATCAGATAAAAATTGTGACCTCTAGAGTGTTGACAAATAAATTGTGGACAGGGACAATATGAAAATGTGGATGTTTAAAAATTATGCGACAACCTTTGTTGACTGCTTGGACAACTTAGCTGCTGTGGGCGTATGCTTTGCTGTCTGGCAACCTATCTTTTGAAAGGAAGGGAAAGAGAAGAGACTAACACATGGTTCAATTTTCTTTCAATAATAAACTTGTGCGTAGGGGTCTTTAGCAGTGGGAGGAAACCAGAGGACCAGAGAAAACCCACCTGGTTGGACAGGCGACCCTACTCCTTGTCACATACACGGCAGTCAGCTCAATGATAGATCTTATGATAGAGCACCCCCACCCCCAGGAGAGAGAAGAGTTGGCATTATCCATCTGCCAAAACAAAAAATAAAAGATCTTGGTGTTCTTGAAAGTAAGAATACATATACCTAGATCACAACACTAATTGGCAGGTACAAATTGAGTTTACTCGATTCAAATAAACTCACAAACTGTTTCAAATGTGGGTGGCTTTGCAATATCAGTGAGAGGACAAAGTTAATACCTGAGACTGAAGAGTGCAAACATATCAGAAGTCTGTTTTGAAATAGGAAATATTACACGGTAATCGAGGATGATCTAGTCTACTGACAGGGTAAAATTTGTCTTCAGTCATAATGCAAATGAAGCTTCAGAATGTGTAATAAACGTTCTTGAAATGATTTTTACCTTTTCAAAGTGCTTCATGTTAAATAGTATTTTTGACACTCAAAATTCGTAAGTTTTATTTTAAGCTCTCATGAAATAAGGCACGACAAATTTCACAGTATCCTGGAGAATGAATGTAACAATGTCAGATCCAGAGCAAGTAAAAGTTACCAGAGGAAAATATGGTAGAAAGAAGAAAAGCCATGGAACATAGTAAATAGAGAGAGAGAGTAAATAGAGAGGTTCAATGTATCTGGTTGGACAGTAGAAGGGGTTTTTGGTTGGATAACTAAAATAAATAATAAAGATCTGGAGGTCCTGGTAATCTTAATAACAGGAGGTGCAATATTTATTTTTCTTAACATAAATTACTTTTTACACTTAGTTGTCAAAGCTAATAGCACTTTCTTGGAAATATATTCAATTTCCATTTTCAATAAATTTCAACTTTTTATAAATACTTTATTAATTTACATTAAATCAACAATTATAACCAAGAAACTAAATAGTTAAAAGATAACAGTTAAAATAACATTTCATATTTTTTTTTTTAAAGTCTTTTCCTTTTTGCAACAAGTATTTAAATATTAATAAAATTCAATACACTATCTCTGGCTAGTCAAAATTGTGATGTCATTACAACTTCGAATTAGTAATATATTCTATTTGGCATTTCTTGCCAAAAGTAACTTGTTTTTAATTGCATTTTTATAAGGCAAACAAATTTATAGTATTTTTTTTAACATTAACATGTTTGTTCTTTTTCTTGAAGAGACTTATCACAATGGACATTTGATATATACAAATGTTATAATCGCATATAATCATATATATATATATATATATAGCTCCAAAGGTACTTGTTTTACAAAAACTTAACAGTTCACTAAAACCCTTTTTTAAAATCAATAAGCGATTTAGTGCTTAAAATGCTGGTAGTAGGCCAGTTAACTTTTAAGGATGTGTAGACTCCAACTATATAATAATTTAATTTAGTTATCAAGTTTTTGTGAAACAGGTCAACAAACAAAACAGTTAAATTAAAACAGTGCTGGAGCCAGTTTTGTATTAATGATTATCTCTTCTAATCTGCTAACAATTCAACCAGGGACTGTTAGCAAATGTTTTTATTTTATATAGTATAATACAACAAAACAATAACATATGACTGGTCACCTGGGGTTAAAACACAGCACTGTACGGGTAAAGATAAATATGGTTATTTATTATTTGGGAAATTTGTAAACTAATATAAACATATTAAAAGCTGCATTTGAAACATCACATAGTTCTCCTAACATATAAAATATTTCAATTCAACCTACTCAATAATTACTACATTTGTCCATCTTATGAAAATGCATTCATCGATCAAGAATATGATAACAGATAACCTAATTATTTAATTCATTTCAAATCGACATGAAGATTTCATATACCACAAGTGGTTCCCATACAAGATACACCCACATTTTGCAATAGATGAACGGAGAACAAGGAAAATTATTAGGGTTCATCCTGTCATTGTTTCTCATGAATTAGAAAAATTTTGCCTACACAAAGTTGTCAGAAAAAAGCAGCAACTTTGAATTCATCCGTGATTATGGTGTAACCCAGATATATTGTGAACATTTTTTAAAATTAAATCATTTTAGAGGGCCCACAAGTTATAAACTCAATTCTTGTACCAACAGGGGCAATAATCCATTAAGTTACGGTCAGATACGCGCCAGAATTGAAAATCATTTGGGAAAAATATAAAAACATATTGGATAAAAATTCTGACCTGTAGAAATGTCCACAAACAAATGTGAATGGGCGTCCAGGCAGACATGGACGACAAACAATAGTCTACATGAAATTGTGGGCTTATAAAAATCATAACACTGAATTTGAATAATTACAGAATGTAATTTACTATCGATCTATCACAATGTATATAACTTTGACTTAGAAATAACAAAACACCGGATGTGGAAAAAAAACCAGTTCAGTATTAACAGATAAATTGGTGATAAATCTAACTGCATTACATATAATGGCAATGTATACATTCAACAAAGCTAAAAAGAATAAAATTATGATAAAATCTATTTATCATTCATAAAAAAATTTGAGTAGGAAAATATGAAAATAAGTTAAAAACAAAAATTATTAATTTTTTACACTAGGCAACAAGCCAACAAAGTTTCTTTTGTAGGGAAAGGGGGTATCAATGTTGACACAAATGTGATGTTGGAAATGAACCCTACATGAATATATCAAAATCTACATTAATTTAGAATGGCACTATATGCTTAGTCCACTACTTGGAAGAAAATTAACACTTTCAACCCAACATTTTACTAGCCTTGTTTTCTCCATTCAATACATTCTCATAGTTGCTATGACTTATTATAAGAGGACTTCTGTGCTACCTGGCTAAAATAATATATAATTCGTTAATCACTTTTATTCAGGTATGTAGGAGACAAAATATTAATGGAACATTTCAATAACACAGTCAAAACAATGTTAGGACGGCAACGAATGAAGAAAACCTGACTTTCAAAATGTATGTCCCCTTCAGTGACCAATCACATGATATTGTCATAAAACGCCTTCAGATATACATATCTTTTAGATTATATACCTGCGCAGGTCATACCACTGCAAGACAACACGACACTATAAGCACAAGGTTAAAAGCAGTGACTGATAATTTTCCAAACAATTTATGAAGCTCTGGGATCATTTCTTTCATAACTTTTCGAGAGAACCAATCTGATGGCTATATAATCATAAATAAGAGCCATCAGGTAATCTACAATACATATGTTAACGATTCAGTACATCTTGCAAAAAGGAGATGCCTTGTATTTTGTTTACAAAAATGTACAAATTTCCCAACTCCATCATCAACAACAAATACATCATAACAAAGATTCTGAGGAGCTAAAAACCTTGTGACTCCATAACCACACTATTTAAAACCATGTATCACTACTGAACTTATATTTAAACAATCACGGAAAACTTTCCACCAAGTCATCTGAAAATAATATGACTCAGAATTTTCAGGACGTCTTTCGACAAAGGAAATGTGCTTACTTAAATTTCTTTTTTTTTCTTTTTTTTTTTGTTTAAATTACTGATGATATGATAATCTTTATAAATATGAAATGGACATAAAACATGAAAAATATGATGATGCAAGCCATTTAAAGATTGATGTCTTTGAAATATTTATAACCCATAATTTATTAAACTTTTTCTTAAACTCAATGGGCATCACAGATAAGAGTGTTCGTACAAGTTAGCCAGAAGCACTATAAGTACCAGACTAAACTTTTTCTTGCTAATTTCACAATAACATGGTTTATCATGACAATCTCAATGGTCCAATCAAAGGAGCAATCCATTGACAGTTTCAGTTAATCTTCATTAATCTTCCTCTTTCTAAAATAAAGTTCACTTTCGTCATAAAGCACAGTTCATCATCTCACAGTACAATGTTTTTTTATCAAGCACATTCCCTCTGTCGTTTAAATCATATAGCCCAATGTGCTTATTGACTGTCCTGCCTCTCTGGTCGATCAGGCCTTTCTGACCTATCTGGACGATCACCTCGATCGCTTCCGCTTCGTTCTTGTTTATCCGACTTTTCGGAAAATTCTGAGAGTATGTCTCGAAATCTGGCCCAGGATCGCTCTGGAATGGTAATGGCTGTACGGAAATTGTTTCTAACCTGAAAGATTAAATACATATAGATCACAAACTGAAAATTGTCTCCATCTAGTTTTTCTTAGAACACTTGGCTCAACTAAAATGTCCAGGATCAGACCTCTGGTCTGAGCCAAGAAAAAACAGGCATTTTAACTCAATTTCGCAGTTACTGCAACAGAAATGCCGACCATGGTTTATGGTCGGTCTAGACGTTTGGTTTTTATAAAGCTCTGCCCCATGCTAACGTTTAGTATACGAAACATGTGGATTTAGCTGTTCAAGTTATCAAAATTCATTGAAAATCAATAAACTGTTCATCTCAAGACCTTAAATGCTGTGTATCAATCTTAAGTCAATCAGATGATAACTTTGGTCTCTAGAGCATCCACAAGATTTTTCAAAGTGATCATGGGACATAACTCTGGTAGTAATTATCGGAAAGTTCAGTAACATAATTACACAAAAGAACATTTACTGCTAAGGTTATTCCGTGTGATAAACAATTTGATGCTAGATGCTTTATTAAAATGCAAGCAATCACTGGGCTTCTTCGTCTCACTACCTTAAACACTGTGTTTAAATTTAAAGTCAATCGGATATTAACTTCAGCCTCTTAGAACGTCCACAAGATTTTTCAAGTGATCAAGGGCCGTAACATAGGCAGTAATTATTGAAAATCAATAGGCTTCTTCGTCTCATGACCTCAAACACTGTGTACAAATTTAAGTTAATCGGATATTAACATTAGCCTCTACAGCGTACAAAAGATTTTTTCAAAATGATCAAGGGTCAAAGCTCTGGCAGTCATCATCGGAAATCATTGAAAATTAATAGATTTCATCTCATGACCTTAAACACTGTGTTTAGCCTACCAACTTTAGCCTTAAAAGCGTCCACAAGCAATTGTGGATACCGGACTGCTGGACGGACAGAGGCGACGACAATATACAACCAGATTTCAATGTGGGAGTATAAAAAGAGAAAGAGTTTAACTTTCACATTGTTATTTTAATAATGGAGCCATGGTTGCTAATTGAGGAAGATGCTGGCTCACTAGCTTGGAGATTGCGGGTTCGCTCCCGGTATTGGCCAAGCAAGTTCAGGCTTTTCCAGCTTGGTTTCCCCTTGTCAGTAGTGCAGGACGGAGAGCCCCTGACGAGGACAGCTGTCTAGCGGTCAGTATTGTACGAAAAAACGACATCCCGTGTACATATTGACAAGTACGTAATAGATCCCATGGCAGTTGGAATTCGATATGAGTGGGCTGTAGTGCCCGCTGTCCGGGCAAAAATTTCCCTCATAAAACACTGTATGCCGTATGCCTCTCTCATTAGCCTAGTCAAAGCAGAACAGTAGAACATTAAACCCCATTTTATTTCAATAAAATACTTGCACGTAAGGGTCTTTAGAAGTGGGAGGAAACCGTACCTTTATCTCATACTTATCCCAAAATAAATAGACAACACTCATTAATTACTTGCATTTTTATACAGCATCTAGCATCAAATTGTTTATTAAACGTAATAACCTTAGCAGTTGATGTTCTTTTGTGAAATTATGTTACACCTTTTTCAGTCAGATGCAGTGATGGGCCATATGGTCAATTATCTTAATTGTAAAGCCCCAATATTAAAGTTAACGTTACCTCTGATATGCGCATGTACACCCCTCTGCGATTTGAACCAACATCAAAATAAAACATTTTGTTTTCTACTCTCATTGAACGACTTTCTGGCAAATCACTTTGTGGCTCTGTTGGAGAGAAAAAAGTAATGAACAATAGAAGAAATCTAAATTACAAGGAAAACTTAACTAGCACTGTGACTAAGCTTCCTTTATTTTTTTTTCTCAAATACAGTATTTAAATTGATAAAGTATTACCATTACGAAAAATGATAGTCTTTAATTACCTTGATCATCTGTGCCAAATTCATCCAATAGTTCAGTTAGGGCATCTCTAAATTCAATCATCCCTTGGGCAGGAATAGCGATTTGGGATCTTGGACCACCTCGAGGTATGGTTTGTGAAACCTTAAGGATAAATGGAATGATTAGTGTTCACATATATACCAAGCCTTAAATCAGTTTCGCACATTTATTGTCACTAAATAAATGGTCATGTTGTACTTAATAAGCTATGACCATTTAACCATCGATAAATAATAGACTATATGGTTTAATTTTATTTCAATAATTCGCTTGCGCGTAGGGGTTTTTAGCAGTGGGAGGAAACCCGAGGACCCGGGGAAAACCCACGGGGTTGGACAGGCAACCCTACTCCTTGTCACGTACAACCGGGGATTCAAAACCACGCCAGTTGACTCAATGACAGGCCTTATGATACAGCACGCCAAGCTAACCATTCGGCCATCCAACCCCCCTTGCCTAACTGGAGTGTTTCAGAAATATTATTTGAACTTAACAAAAAGATACCGCTTCTAACGGCATAGTTAATGATAAAGCAATTTAAAAAATAAAACACAAATCCTAAAGCTGCTGCAATAACCAAACATAACGCTAACGCTACAATATACGTCCACATTCCAATTCTGCTTTGATTGACAAGGTACTTTGTCAAGAAGGCTAGGCTTTTGGTTTGTTTAGCGTTGAGGGTCGTGCATCAACATCAATAGTTCCTGTCCTTAGAGTATAACTTATTAATAAGTATACCAAGATAATGCATTCAGAATTGTGCCTTTCACATTCCAAAGGCAAAAAGTGGGCGTGACTCTGCTCCTGGGGGTTGAGACATTCACCAAAATCAATAGTGGACTCCCTAAGGCAATAAGGAATACATATGCCAAGTACCGAGCGGCTTCATTAAGAATTGCGACCTGGGAGTCGGCTAAGCAGTTATCCTGAGGCTATAAGGAATACATAACCCAAGTTTAAAGACGATCCATTAAGAAATGTGCACTACACGACGTAAAGAGAATCCTAATGCAGCAATACACCTTAGCAGCAATATACAGTCCATATTGTTGCTTTGATCGATATGATTATTAATCAATTATTAATAATAAATTTGGGACTAAATTTTAATGACGAATGACACCCAAACAAATAACCGGTATAAATGCTTGTAACACTTTTATTAATTTTCTCTGGTTACAAAGCGTTCTGAAACGTCAACAAATAACCGGCATAAATGCTTCTAACACTTATTAATTTTCTCTGGTTACAAAGCGTTCTGAAAAATAAGTTTAACAAAGGCTATCAGAAAACACTCACAAAAACCCGAATTTTACATGGGAGACAACTCTTTAAAGCATATCACGCCGAATTTTACATGGGAGACAACTCTTTAAAGCATATCACGCCAGTTTGACATTGTTAGACGGAGTTATCTCCTCCGAACCAAGTGAAACCGAAGTCTGAAATTAAATCCCAATCTGACAAAAGTACTTAATATTCTTAAAAGACAAATTATTAATAATAAATTTGGTACTAAATTATAATAACGAATGACACCCAAACATAAGACTTTTTAAAAATGTACATCCTGAAAACGCACATGTACTTGCAGTTACATGAATTTATAATTTATTTAGTGTGAGAGAGAGAGAGAGAGAGAGAGAGACATTGTCATTGCAGTACCAAAAGGTCTTTAGCAGTGGGAGGAAAGGGGGAGAAAACGGTGGTTTGAAACGTCAACAAATAACCGGTATAAATACTTCTAACACTTACAAAGCGTTCTGAAAAATAAGTTGAACAAAGGCTCTCAGAAACCACTCACAAAAACCCGAATGTTACATGGGTGACAACTATTTAAAGCATATCACGTCAGTTTGACATTGTTAAATGGAGTTGGACATTGTTAAATGGAGTTATCTCCCCAAAATCGGGCATGCACCCAAAAGAAAAGGGACCAACCTCAGGGTATAAGGAATATGTATTTTAAGTTTCAAGATGATCGATTTAGAATTGTGGCCTGTAGGCGACACACAAAAAGAAAATTGGCATGGCTCTGCCCCTGGGGGTTGGGCATGTAGGGCCTACTCCAAATGATAAGGATGTTCCAAATGATAGGAATGTTCCTTAGGGTACAAAGAATAAGTATATAAAGTGTGGCTCTGCCCCTGGGGGTTGGGCATGTACCCCAAACGATAGGGATGTTCCTTAGGGTACAAAGAATGTGTATGCAAGATTATAAGTTAAGAAATGTGGCCTGTAGACGACAAACAAACAAATACTAGAAATGGGCGTGGCTCTGCCCCTGGGGGTCGGGCATGCACCAAAAACAATAGGGATCTTCCTTGGGGTATAAGGAATAAGTATACCAAGTTTGAAGAAAATCCAGTAAGAATTGCGCCCTGTAGGCGACACAAAGACACACGAAAAGAAAATGGGAAATGGGCGTGGCTCTGCCCCTGGGGGTTGGGCATGTACCCCAAACGATAGGGATGTTCCTTAGGGTACAAAGAATGTGTATGCAAGATTATAAGTTAAGAAATGTGGCCTGTAGACGACAAACAAACAAATACTAGAAATGGGCGTGGCTCTGCCCCTGGGGGTCGGGCATGCACCAAAAACAATAGGGATCTTCCTTGGGGTATAAGGAATAAGTATACCAAGTTTGAAGAAAATCCAGTAAGAATTGCGCCCTGTAGGCGACACAAAGACACACGAAAAGAAAATGGGCGTGGCTCTGCCCCTGGGGGTTGGGCATGCACCCCAAACGATAGGGATGTTCCTTAGGGTACAAAGAATGTGTATGCAAAGTTTCAAGATTATTAGTTAAGAAATGTGGCCTGTAGACGACAAACAAACAAATACTAGAAATGGGCGTGGCTCTGCCCCGGGGGGTCGGGCATGCACCAAAAACAATAGGGATCTTCCTTGGGGTATAAGGAATAAGTATACCAAGTTTGAAGAAAATCCATGAAGAATTGCGCCCTGTAGGCGAACCACAGACACACACACACACACACACACACACACACACACATACATACATACACACACACACACACACAGACAGGGGCGACGGCATAATACGTTCACATTATGAATGTGGACGTATAAAAAGCTTAATATTACTGCCATTCAGAATCGTCAACAATAAATTTTTTACAGCTGTAATAGTTGATAAGATGTAGAGAATTTCACGTGCAATGGCTATTTATAGACCCATAGACTCTTGCGCCAAGTGTTATCTTACTGCGTGCCTCACCAGAAATCACTTTGAGACAAGCCACTGAAGCGTGCACATTCGCAATATCGAGTTCAACTTTCAGTAGGGGAAATTTTGCTGCATGGGGCACTCTAACACTGGATACTTAATACTGAAACAAAATTATTGTTGGAAAGATGTTAATAAGAAATGAAATCAATGTTCAAATTCCAACATAGAAATACTATTGCACAGGAATCATTTAATTCATACTATTAAGATATATCAAGAACTTACTCTAAGAAACCTTCCTCTTTGATTTTCTTTAAGATCCAGATAGTAACGACGATTATCTTTTACTATTAATTCACTTTTTAGCTTTCCATCTTCTGGTGGATTTTCTGTGTTTGTCGGACCTGAAAAAATATAAATATATTTTATTTTACTGTAATCCTGAATCAATTCATAATTAATGGACAAGCTATTCCTGTACACCATCATAAAATAAATATTAAGCTGTTTTGTCTGGATGGTTTCATATAAGAATTCTTTGTTTGTACCAGCATTATTTACTCAAAAATACTGTCAAGAACTCCAACACAAGCAGGTGAATATCAACAAGCTAGATTCATATTCCAAAGTTCCTTGGATAATATTTGGATTTTGATCAGAGACTACGAGTTACCTGACCAGCCAATTCAGGGATATGGTTGATGGATTGACTTATCAATATGCCACTTTGATTGACATGAGAAAGTTTTTTTATTCAGATAACCTTTCTAGTTTGAACTCATGAATCCATAATTTATTGACATTAATCATATATCATATGTGTAAGGTATTTTTTTTATACTGAAATGTTGAATTTCCAAACGTACGCCTATGGCAGCTAAGTCATTCGAACAGTCCATAAAGGTCGTCGCATACCTATCTTTAGGTAAATAAGAGAGCAAAATTGTTATAAACTGTATGATATCATTTCCTCATTTACAAGATGAGCTTACAAATAATTATCAGAAATTGTCATAATTGATATTAAGCGTAATAATCAAAAAGAATAGGAATATCATTTTGATGAATTTTACTGTTAAAGCATTGAGAAGTTTCTACAAAATGTGCAAGGGCCATAAATTTGAAATAAGGGCCATAACTCAAAAAGTAGTTAAATTCTAAAAGATTGTATATGATAAATGTGCTTATAAATTATGGGCCTTGGTTGGACAAAGTAAACGGCAATATGCGACCATATTTCATTGTGAAGGTATTACATCTGTAGGGCTTTCATTAATCTCTGCATTATTTTATAGCTCATAAAAGGCTGTCATGGTGTTTTATTGCATTTTACCTTTAATTTCTTTGAAATGCACTACAGTTTTAGTTCTTTGTTCATATTTAGTGTGTGAATCAAAATTTTGCCCTAGAATATGTGAATTCACTTTGAAATAGTGTTGTCATGATTACAAAATTCTTGAATCGGTTAATCGGCTACCCAAAAATCGTATCGGTGCCGATTAATCTGATGCCATATAAATTCTATAATAATTTAAAATAAATGTTTCTTTCATTGGCTAATGCCATTAGTTGTTGATAAACAGATGACACATTAATAAATTGCATTGATCTTTTTTAAAAGTATCGTGCAATCAAACTGATTAAAACTATACAATAAGTTTCATCTCTTTATCAGATAGAATCAAAGTCAAAGAAATTGCTTGGCTCTGCTTATAAATCTTTAGCGGGAAATGTTAATCATTGAACTCGTCAAGACATTCACCTAATGAACATCTAAATCAAGTTTAAACCTATCTCAATTAAAAGCAGAGTTGTTATGTTCCAAAGTCATGACCAATCAAACTGCGTATCGCACCTTAGCCCAAGCAGAAAGGTCTCATCATAAAACTTAGTCACGGTAATGATATAATGAATCAATACTCAGATTTTCATCGCTCTCACTTAATTATAACCAAAGTTATCGTGCCAAAAAGCTTCAATCAATCAAATTGCTTATCTCTCCTTACCGTAAGCAGACAATGTTCATCATAGAACTCCATCAATGCATTCACCTAATGAACACTTACACCAAGTTTAAACATTCTACCTCAATTGGAAGGAGAGTTATTATTTGTGTTCCAAAGTCTTGACCAATCAAACTGCTTATTGCTCTGCTTATCCTCAGCAGAAAATGTTCATTGTCGAACTTAGTCAAAGTTTTGATCTGATGAAACTATACACCAAGTTTCATCACTGTCACTTAATTAGAACTAAGTTATCATATCTCAAAGCATCAACCAATCTAATGGCTTATTTCTGCTTACCTAATAAACACCTACACCAAGTTTGAACATTCTAGCTTAATTAGAAGTAAGAGTTATTGTGTCCCAAAAAGTGTGACAGACAGACAGACCCATTTTAATAGTCCCCTGCTTTCTTCGAAAGGCGGATGGCGGGGGACGAAAAGAAAAAATCTATTTTAATTATATCAAAGGTCTATCAATTTAGACGTTAAGTTTGGAATCCCCATGTAGCCCATGGCTAAAAATAATACAGTGACCTCACTGACATCGCATGCTGACAAAATCTGACGCGTTTTCATTGGTCAATATGGATTAGAAAGTGATATAATTTTGACGTTCAACATGTTGATTGACAGCATTGGAATCTCCAGCAGAAGTGTGTGCACAGCAACAGTGACAATCGAAGAACAGCAAAACCTTTCAGTTTCACAGCGCCTGTTTTAACAATAAATATTGACCCAAAAAGCAACGAGTTTGGTAACAACTATCCATTGAATGATGTGCAGGAACGACTATCTACGCGCACGAAAGGCAGGGGACAAACTTTTTTTTTCTTTTAAACAGCAAATGTTTGCTATATATAAATTCATAGATTGCAACAGCATACATGTATGTTAACGTTATCTAGTGACTAAATACATTTATAAGCTTACAAGGTTAAAAGCTAAAAACTACAAACAAAAACAAAGTTATCAGACCATGCATATGTGCAAAATTCTAGTGTATATGATGATAATGAATTGTCCAATGAAAATATATTGTTAGCAAATTAATCCACATGCAAAGATATGAAGCTCAATAAATTCCAAAAAAGAAAATCCAGAATTTCAACCTTAATCATTTTGCCACATCCAGAAAATGAACACAACAACCGAGGAGCTAGGACAATTCCGTGGTGTAAGACAGGGTGAGTTAGTATACAATAATAGAAGCCAAAATTCCAACATGCCCCAAATATATCTAAAAAAAATATCTACATGTAAATGTATGATAGATAATATATGGTGGAAAACTAAACAGTATAAAAGAATTATACGGCTAAAGTGACCATTCACCAAAGGGGGGATTAAAACATGGTACTTTTATTAGACAGTGTTTATTTTAGCAAGCATAGGTAGAATTACGTGTTAATGATAGTGTTGACTTACTTTCATTGTCTCCGCCCTCTTCTGAAATAACAGATTAATACGCATCAATAATGTCGATTTATTTGTAATTTTAAATTGGTGTGTGATGGTACATGGGTACTTCTAAGCTAAATGGTAACAAGAGTTGGACAATATACTTACAAGGAAGACAGGATGTTAAGTGTAGTGTAGATCAGAAATATTGATTTTTTATTTCCAAGGGCAAGTTTTCTACTACTCAATTCTGACCTTTAAAAGTTAAAGACCTTAAACTTGTTTAATAAGTTTTTGAAGGTGTTATATTTAACTAAACTTTGGACTTTCGTACCTTAAGACTATTATTATTATATTACGACTGAGCATTTTCACATAACCAATCAACTAAAAGATTACTTTATAAACATATTCTATACTGGTAAAACAAATAGTTTTAAATTGGCATCAACCATTCATAATTTTTATGTTGAAGTTGGACCTAATCATATTGTGCTATTGTAATCTAGGATCATTAGAATGATTTCTCCACTTGGCATATGCTTATCCAAAGTCAACAAATTGTAGTATTGTAACAATCATTTATCAGGTTACTAGCATGAAAAGCTTCAAGTACAAATGCCCAGAATTGCTACTGCATTTGAAAATTTTGCAAAAAATTACCTGTACATCATAACTAAAAAGAATCATTTTCAATAAAACAATTTTTACTATTACCTGTGAACAATTAACCAATAGCTCAGAAGGACCCATAAGGAAGTCAATTTGTACTGTGTTAATGGCAATTTTAAACTTATAATATGTACTACTACATGTACCGGATTACAAAATAACAATCATAATAAGCTTAACCATAATAGCATGGAAACTGATAATCAAAACTGAAATTCTGGATTATCAAAAATTGAGAAACATACGACTGATAAAATACTGACTACAGGTCATGCTTTAATTTAATATGAACAGACATAATTTTAGGAAGGAAATACACTTTTTTTGAAGAAAAATAAAAGCATGATGAAGATTTAAAGAAAACATGATGTTGGTGTGGAATGTCCTAAAACTTACCCAATGATGCATAATGTTCTGTGAAATCTGTCAAATAGTCTCTGAACTCTGCTGCGGAGGACATAGCGAGAAGGAGGCGACTTTTCTTCCCTCCGGCACCTACCTATTATCAAAATACAAAATGTTACAATTCTAGAGAACTGAAACACAATTTATAGGGATGGGTTAATTAACTGTGGCATGAACCCAATTTGCTAATTATAATAAACAATTTCAAAAGCATCCTGTTATTCCATAAATAAACGTGGCTGCATTTAGGCATGTATAACAATACCTAGCACCTCATCTTATTTTAAGTACCAGTAACATTCTTCCTACCTCTGCCACTTTGATGAAGCGGCCACGTCTGTTCTGCTTCACATCCAGGTAAAATCTCTTGGACTGAATGTGCAAAGTTCTAGTGGCCAACTCCTGTTCAACAGACCCTGAATATACAAAAATGAAAAAATAGTTAAATCTATTGCACACATACATTATTGAATACAATGGACTTAGGTTTTACATTACCACTAAGTCTTAACTGCACCATAGTTATTTATATAATGGTAAATTTTAACCTGAATTTATTATCGCATAAGAATTAAGAATAGTCATTTAAGCTTACTTCTGTGAAGATTTGAATAATTGTTTTTAAAGGACTTAGAAATACAGATTGTTCACAAACCAAAATTACTTAAATGCAATGCCTAATGTGCAACAGACAAAAATGAATGCAAAAACACAAAAAAAATGAATTCTGGCAATAATGAACAATTTAATTTTAATTTGAAGAATTTAAAAATTCATAGCGCTATTAATTTACAATTGCAAATTAAATGCCAAAAGCAAATGGAATCACTAAATATAGAGACTGCAATTGATGGAGCAAATTTATTTTAACCCGATCTCATAAATTCACTACCGCCACCGTTATATTTAATTAAAGCTTCTCATTTTGAGCAATTTATTTCAAGTGGTTTATTTTTTTTTAAAAAAAGTTATATTTGAGTTTTCCTCATAATTTTATGCAATAGAGCAGCCATTTGTTTCTTCTCATTAATCTTTCAAATTGTAATCACGATGGCATCAATAAGTAATTCCATTTGACAAATTCATATAAAACAGAAACTCTGACAAAGTGTTTTATTTGTTTTATAGTTATACATCATCTATGCATTATGTTTTTTCCAAAAGCTACCTTACAAAATATGTGTATACTATAATTTAAATAAATTTTAAGAATAAGCGTACACATCAAAGATGCATAAAAATATACAATACATAATGTGAGCTTATGCAAAAAATTTGTTTCTGTAACAATAGTGAAATTAAGACTTTATCGAGCCTTTCAGCATCGACAATTTTATTACGGCAAGTAATTAAAATTGATGCGTTATCAGATCTACATTATTCACTGCCAGTACAAAAAGAGAAGAAAAAAAATGAAGCAAAAATATAGGGTAAATGTGAAAAGAATTGTTAGAAGACAATTTAATTAGTTGTATGGTAACTAAATTACATTGTCGAATTAAGATGCATAGGGCATGAATTATATATAAAAATTATTATTGATTGGATTGAATACACTATTGTACAGTACAATAAATAGACCGAAAAGTCCTATCACAAATCACTAAGTCAGTGGTCAGCAATGTATGTCAATTTCAAATTGTTGCACAGTAAACTTCCAATTATAAATTTAGTTGTTTACTAGTTTTACTACACCAAAGTGATCAATGAAATCCAAAGATAGGTTGCCAGGCAACGAAACATACACCCACAGCAGCTAACAATTGTCTGGGCAGTCAACATGAGTTGTCGCATATTTTTACTTTTGTTGGTAATGAAATAAATCGCTGAAATAAACACTTCAAGTAACTTGTATTCCATATAATTGTGTCATGTGTTATTGGTAATGAAACATTTATATTAATACACTAAAATATGATTAAGAGTAACAACTCACTAAGTAATTATCAGAAAGTCATTAGAATTTGTTTGGCCCATGCTAAAGTTTAGTATACAAAATATTTAATACCATGGATTTAGCTGTTCAAGCTTCCAAAAATCATTGAAAATCAATATACTTGCTTGTCTCAAAACCTTAAACTCTGTGTATCAATCTAAAGTCAATCGAAACGATTATATATATAGGCGTAAACACGGTGTATAAATATAAAATCAATCAGATGAGAACTATAGTCTCTAAAGCATCCACAAGATTTTTCAAAGTGATTAAGAGCCATAACTCAGGCAGTAAATATCAGAAATAGGTGAAAATCAATAGGCTCCTTCGTCTCATGGTCTTCAACACTGTGTATAAATTTAAAATCAATCGGATATTAACTTTAGCCCCTAGAGCGTCAATTGTGGACGTCCGACCGGCTGACTGATGGACGGAGGCAACGACAATATATGACAACATTTCAATGTGGGCGTATAAAAATGTTTGGGAATTTGTTTTCTTAAATTTATTTACCGATGTTTATTATAATTTAAGTAGTTCTTAAAACAATTTTCTGTATTTTGACTAAGGGCGTTCTAAGCGCAGGTGCACTACGCGAGCCATGGGTAATCCGCCACTGACAATTTATATCTAAACAGTCTTTTATTTTAAAAATAATAAAAGATGAACAAAAAGGACAAAGAACAGTCTACCCAAACCATCAAATATCAAGAATTTAAAAAAGTTAAAAATAATCAACTTACTTCCACTATCTGAATGATCATCTGAAATAACATGTGAATTACATTAAATTAAAAGTAAATTATTACAAAACAGACAACAAAAAATACAAGATACAAAAAGTACAAATGCAAAGGAATTTTCTCTCTCTAGCTATACAATAAATAATGAAAACATATGGCACTAAAATCACAGGCACTTATAAAAAAATGAAAATCTTTCAAACATAAAAAAAGGTGGGGTATACATGTAAGTCTATTACATACATAATTACATAAGGGAGATAATCATATTTAGGGTCAGATACCTGTTCAAGCTTCTTTGTCAGTAATAGTGACTTCGCGGATGGTTGACAAAATACAGGGTCAATAATCTTTGATCTGCCCCCTTTCTCAAGTCAAAAAACCATGAGTTTTCGGCCAAAACCATGGAATTATTTGATGACCAGTTTATATTTTTGTGGTGGAAAATGTCTTGTTTGAAAGTACAATGACTATACAAAACAGGCGTTTAAAAATTTGTTGACTGAACAGAGTTGACATCTACGAAAATTTCAGAGAAAGGGAGATGGTATAAATCTGTTTCTTACATTTTAGTATTTTTAACCAACTGAGAATTGGTTTCAGGCATGTTATTTGTGCTTAAATTTTGATTACCGGTATATAAATATGAATGTAATAAGACTTTAACCTTAATATTAGTCTCTGCTTAATGTTATTTTCCAAAAATTTTACATGTTACAATTTTTACAATTCGTGGCAGTAATTGCTAAGTGGAGTTTTGAACACTTGAATGATAGATAGTATACTTTGTTTCTTAAACCTAAAAACTAATTAGAAAGTAAAAGAAGTCATTGATTGATTTTTTTAGGCTATATTTTTATTCAATTACAATCCTAGTCAATCACTTTATGTGTTATTAACATATCTTTAGATAATATCTAAGTAGATCTAAAGAATATAAAATATTAATCTGAGAAAGAAAAGTCTTGAATCAATTGTTAAACAGACACAAAATTAGTTTATTTCCTTATTAGATTAGATAAGCTTAACAGTTCAAGGAACTGTAACTACCATACTGTGTTTTTATTACTTCATGACAGACAATAACACAATTCAACAAACTGCTCAACAGTTCAAGTCTTTTTCCAAAGGATGTCACTTCACACTTTTTTGGACAGGAACTCGTACAAACTGACCGTTAAAAGTTAACAAGATTTTGATTAAACGAATTTCAATAGGGCTCTGCCAACATGTAATGATTCTCAACTTCCACACCCAATGTATAGCGGTTAATTTAAAGGACAATATTGGTGTCAGGCATGTCACATATATATGTGATAGAACTGGTTAAATAGATTAGAATGGTTCAGCGATACTTTGATTTAATCAAATATGGAGGACCGTGACTTAGCTTCGATCAACCAGTACGGTGGTTGAAATTATTGCACAAGTCTGTCAAACCTTCAAAGGCTAATATCTTCGCTTGCAACACAGTAATTTGACTGAAATTTCCAAATTATTCATTTTACATCATCTACTTTCGAACTATTATAGCAAGAATGGCTAGTTCTTTATCTAAATCTTACATAATGTATCTTTAAACTTGAAATGCATGTTTATAACCCAAAAGATCTTGGTTCCTTTCAATATTCGCGCATATCAGAACATAACTTCCTGAATTATGGCCCTTGATTGTATGAAAAATCCTGTTTTTACCTTGTGGTCCCTCTAGAGGTAGATGTAACAATTTCTATCCAAGTTAAAAAAATGTTTAAATATATCACTGTTATACACTTATTTTCCAAGTTCAAATTTGCGTACAAAATGGCCACCCATCGTACGCAAATAGTGTAAATACATGGTATATCAAGGTTGTAGACCCTCTAAGAGGACATAATTTAGATCCGATTTTGATGAAACTTGAAATACATGTTTATAACCCAAAGATCTTGGTTCCTTTCGATATCCGTGCATATCAGATCGTAACATCCTGAATAATTGTCCTTGATTGTACGAAAAATCACGTTTTAGCTTGATATTTGTGCATATTGGATCGTAACTTCCTGAATTATGGCCCTTGATTGTACGAAAAATCATGTTTTTAGCGTGTGGTTCCTCTAGAGCTCATAATTACAACAGCAGAGTTCGAATTTCGTGAAAATGAGACCAAAACTGCCAGACAAATGGCAGCCCCTTGTACGCAAATAGTGTAAATATATGGCATATCAAAGTTGTGGACCCTCTAGAAGTCACAATTTTGATCTAATTTTGATGAAGCTTGAAATACATCTTTACAACCAAAAGATCTTGATTCCTGTCGATATTCGCACATATCGGATCGTAACTTCCTGAATTATGGCCCTTGATTGTATGCAAAATCTCATCTTCAGGCCTTCACGTAAAAGGTGCGCGATCGCTCACGCTCTCCTGGATGTCAGTCGAGGTGCGCTTTTTATAGCTCTCCTCAATGTCTAATTTGACTCCCCTCAAAGAAGATAATCAGGAAAAATATACTGGTAACGAAAAACACTGTCAATATCATATCGACAATAACAGTCATACCTTAGTGAGAATCGGCCATCCGGTTCATAATCCGAGTAATTAGCACATTTAACGGTAATTTTGATAATTCGGCAAAAAAACACAAGCTTGCTGGTTATTCATAACAGGTCCAGTAAGTTTCCTTTGTAATAATAAACCATGTGGCGAAGGAAGACATCTCGCTCCGCATGGATTGTAAATCTTGTGATAGACAAAAACATTAATTTGTGTTTTAAATACGAAGAAATGTGATGGTGTCATATCAGCTTATTTTTGCCATAGTAGATAAATCCTAATTTCGATCGACTGATATCCGTTTATCCATCAAATAAACGAAGACAATAGTCTATTCAGGAATATTACTGACTTGAACTTGATGAAGTCAGATATTAATCTCTGGACTTTATAACAAATGCTAACAAAGCTCTCCTCAAGAGATTCAGGAGAATGATTTCCCCTTTTTCCAATTTTTGACTTCCCAGGAATTTATTCGCGTGAAGGCCTGCTTTTTGTTTAGTTTGTTCTCTATCCATCTCTTGCAAAATATGGGCGTATCTGCCTGCCAGAGGCTGGTCCCTTATCTAGTGACATTCAATTACTTTTTTGAATTATCAGATATCCTTTATTGTCCTTTAACCCTTAACCGGTCATTGTCGACTCTAGTCCCCACAACGTTAAACAGCTAAGTGGTCACGGTTGACTAAAGTCGACCACAGCAAGAACCTTTTTTATAAGCCGCATTTGAGTATTTAGTTTCGTATTTAATTGATATGGCCACGCATGCATGTCAGACAGGAACTTGTCTTGTCAAGGGCATTATTGAGAAAAACATGTCTTTGTTCAACATTTTTTTACGAAAAACGTAATTTAACGGTGTCGGGAACGTTAAAGACGCTCGAAGTGGTTGAAATACTTATGAATTATTCCGAATCGGATTATATCGATGACACCGATTCTGAAGACGATATTTATGATGAAAAGGATTTAGAATGATTTGGAAATTATAGAACAACTTATCCCCAGCAACTTTTTTATTGGTGTCAAGAGTCTATCACTTATAATTATTCGGCAGTAGTCGGTTGAAATAGGCATACAAAATATTTCACGTCAGCCTTTATTTAGCCTGACCACTTGACGTCATAACGTCAAAATGACGTCGACCGGTTAAGGGTTAACAATGTGTGTTTGCCAATGGGACAGTGCGATTTGCCTGTCAATTTTGATTTGAGAACAAGCTGTGTGACAGGTTTCAAAACTTTGTATTCTTTGGTAATATTAAATATTTTTGGATCATATATGGTGTTGAAGACGTCTTTACCTCAATAGACCATAAACCTTCTCTCGAGTTAAAAAAAAATGTGCACTGCATTGTAAGTATACATGTATGTTTACGTGTAACATTTCCATACGACTTGTTCTTCCAGATGTTGTATTGATAAACAATAGGAAGATTTGAGTATAAATGAAGCGGTCATAAGATTGATTATAAATAAAGAGACAGCAAAATAAAATAACAACGAACGAAACTTTGTAAAGATTTACCAGTATCAGCACTTGACTATGTATTATTGAGATACATACATTTGAAATTTGCATGAAGACAACTAAAATACATCAAATTTCAAATAACTGATTTTTTGCTTTTCACAGCTTCCATTGGACAATAGTTATTTTTGTCTTACCAATAAAATAACAACTCCTTCAGTTTAACAAATATTTGTAATATAGAAGATAATGCAGACATTGTTCAAAAAGTAAAACTGGGAAAGTTTATAAATTTAGAGGAGCTAACTTCTGGTACAGTATTTGCTGAAATAATCAAAAATAAAAAGAATCCCAATTAAAATTCGTCCTTGATTGTCTGCAGAGAACACTAGAGGACAAATTTTTTAATCCTTTATAATTATATCTTTGTAAATACCGTACCGAAATGAATGAACCATTTTCATGGTCCTTTTAGAGATGTAACTTTTTACAAAGGATCAAAAGACCTTTAGTGACAAGTTTAATGGTTGCATTTGTTAAAAACACTGCACTGACAGTTTAGTTTTTATATGTCAATGTGGAAACTTACTATCACTTTGTATATCTATCCATATTACAGATCACTAATTTAAAATGAACCCTATTATTGGTATTCATTGCTTTTACAAAGTTACAGGACTGTTTTTTTTTTTACGAGGAACATCGGAAACTAGTCGCACAACAACTTTCTCAGAGTTACTGCTCCTGTCACTGAAACCTTGAAGACGATCAAGGTGAGAGTTTTTTTTAGGAAAACTTTCTGGGTTTTTATTCTTACATTCTTGTTCCACAAGGTTTGAAAACTGGGGTGAACCAGCATTTTAATGAATTACATTTGAACTTGGGTGGATTCTAATATGAAAATGCACAACCGGTACTTTTAAAAATGGATGATTGTAAATCGTTTGAAAGACTAACTTCTCAATTCTGAAAGTAAAACCAGATCATGACGATAACATGAGAGAATGAGGTTTTCATGATTAGATAAATGCTCCATGCCACAGATCAAACACGAACCAAGCTTGACATCTGACTATAAGTCACTGGAACCAGTAGAAGTACCATTTGATTTGGTTAAATAAGGTAAAAAAATCCTCCAGAAGCCAGTTTCTGTTGAGAGGATTCTCATAATTACAAAAATCAATAGACATGTGGGTATGCTAATAAAAATCACTAAGTGCATTATTAAAATTCATTAAAATAAATTATTAAAATTAAAACTCAATTTACAAAAACTGATATAATATTCAGTGTGATACTTAATTTACTAAATTATGTTTTTCATTCTTGCCTTACAAAACTGTTTTATTACTAAACGGTTCAAAACCGCCATTCTGAGTGCCAGTATGAAAATGGTTTACGAATAAGCTTACAAATAGTATTGGAATAACAATTGTAAAATCTAACGAATCAACTAAGTACATGTACAACCATTTTCAGCTCTGTCCACCGGCCATTTTTTAGGGACATGTACAGTGAAGATCAAGTTTAGTGTTTTAAAAAATGTGATAACTGATTCTAATATCGTTTGGATTACTCTAATCAGTATGCACACACATCAGTTCATTAGTCTAACTTGCCCTGTTCCTATAAACATTATTATTATAATAAACATTAGGATTAATTATGCCTCTTGACGTCTAGAAATGTTATAAATTAAAATACAAGCAGAAATAACTGAATACGACAGATTTAGTTCCATTTTACCGACTACCTATGCAGTTATTTTTCCAGAAATTCCATAGTGCACAGATGCTTATTTGGTAGAAAATAGTAACATTGCTTGTCGCTCCTGAAAAATTCTAAACACTTTCAGAGTTACAAGCCTTTACTGATCGTTTAATTACGTCATATTCCTTATTATTAGAAGACACATTTGCTAAATATCAAGTATCTTGTGCTATGCATATTATAAGTTTCAATAAGAAAAAAGGTAGCCACCTTGCTATTTCAAAATTATGATGAGGATTCATTGATTGATACTGAAGAATATTGAGTATGTCTCTAAGTATTGTGGTGAACTGACAATTATATTCAGTCTAAAACTAAAATACATTTTCACAATACTACTTTGTACCTATGAAACCAATTTTGTCCTCTAGCTTGTTTAGCTTGATTTTTGACTCGACACTTGAATTCTAACTTCTAAGGGAAACAACTTGTTGCACAGTTCATGTTGACCTATAAATTTTTGACAGCTTGCACTTCCTGTATGTATAGCAACACCGTACAGAAGCACGAATATACATAGGGGGATTGTTGTTACAAATTAAGTGAAATAATATAAACTGGATGTTGAAAATAAAGAAAATGTATTTAAATGCCAAACTCAAAGATTCGTGCAATTGTGTACCTCTTATCAAGCATTTTCCTAGAAATTGACGGTTCACACGCCATGTTGAATTTCAGCTGACCACCTTACGATGCGCACAACATTTCTGTTACGATTTTTGCATATTCCATGTCACGTATGAACTCGTAAACGCCTTAAAATGCTGTTGCGATTAAAGGAAACCTCAACTCGTTTGATAACCATCGGTAATTTGCTTGTACAATAGTATTTTACACGGCAAAGCAAAGCGATAGCCTAACTCGGCCACTAAAACTGAAGGAAAACATGGACACTTGTCAAACGCATTCATGACGAAGCCACAGCAGAAACAACAACTTTAGGATATAGCATGCAGTAAAATTGTCAGTGAATAATGTTTTCCCAAATGTAAAGAAAAAAAACCTGTGCCTTGTGCCTGCGACTGTTGCTGTTCGTCTCCACTCTCACGATCCGACATGGTGCAACCCTTCCTAAGCAGATCCAAAGCCTCCTTCTAAACCTCATGAATAATTCATGAGGTCATACATATCTCGTGCTGTCATGTCGTGTGGATGCTTCTTAGAAGTACCGAAATGAAAAGGCTGAATGCATTTAATTTGATTGCATTATTTTAATCTGGTGATGAAAAGGAAATATTTTATTTTCATTTTAGTAAGTTCTATAAGCAATTTTACCTAAAACGGTAAAGGTATACTTTTTGTTGAGCAGAACAGAAGATATTTCACATGACTGTTTCATTGGCGGAACGGCGCGCCCTCGTGACGTCAGTCGGGTTATGTTTTGAAAATATATTTTATAAACAATAAATAATAAGGCTAAGATAAAATATCATAATCTTATGTATTCACTGTTCATGTCATCTCATGCAGAAAGATATCGCAATTCGAAATCTACATGGAATTTCAAAATTGTTTTATTGCACAAGTACTAAGTAAATAGCCTACCGGTGGTTAAAATAGGCGAAATATAGCAAAGTGTTAAGTCAGTTAACTTAAGTGTTGTGTCTTTGAAAGGCATTTAGTGAAAGTGATATAATAACAGACAGCTTTATGGATGACATTCACTAGGTTTATTAACTGCATTGCTTGATAACGGTGAGAGCAACCTCATTGAAACGTTGCAGTTAATAAACCTAGTGAATGTCATCCATAAAGCTGTCTGTTATAACTTAAGTGTTATATATCTAATCGAACATGGAAATTGTTTTAGTAGTAAAAGGTACTAAGTAAATAGCCTACTGGTAGTATTGTTGCCTAATACTAATAGGTGAAACATATCCTTGCCCGCTTTCACGTAGATGGAAGGGAATCAAAATATAACAGGCCCACTGTAACAATTTTGAGATAGAGGAACCAACACTAATCAATGGGGAATCGTTTGAAATGACTAAGTCCCATTAAACGAGGTTAAATTTTAAGGCCTTTTATAAAGTCCTATTACAACATTCTGCATTTTGAAAACAAAAATATTAAATGGGAAACACTGTTACCGGGAGTATTAACCTTTCCACCTCCCTAAAAACAATATTATTATTTAAGCCAGGTGGCTAATATTTAATATATAGATAGAACTCAATGACCATTGAATAACCCGAGAGGTATTCAATGGTCATTGAGTTCTGTTTTTATTCTATAACTACATGCAAATCTCAAAATACACTGTACTATCTAGATTATCATAAAAAAAATCATTACTACTAACGTTAAAATTCATCATAGGTTCCGCCCTTCTTTTTTTTTTTTACAAAAATTGGAGGGTCTAGAGCACAAGTGATCTAACTACCAACCATTTTAGTTGGTTGTTAGATCACTTGTGCTCTAGACTACCAACCATTTTAGTTGGTTGTTAGATCACTTGACATGTGCTCTAGACCCTCCAATTGTGGTTGCCTAGTTGTGACGTCATTACAGTTTGACGTAGTTCTGTAAGTGACGTCATTCTGGACAAAAGTAGTACGTTTTCAAGCCATTGAATACAACTATAGGTTATTCAACGGCCATTGAATACAACTACGTGTATAGGTTATTCAATGGCCGTATTCAATGATATTTGCTTGTATTTGCATGTAGTTATAGAATAAAGAGCTATATAGCAGCAATTAATAGGCCTATCTGGCTATCTATTTTTATATCTATTAGTATTATTGCAAAAATGAATAGTTTTAGATAATAAAATGGGGTTGAACGTTCTGCTTTTCTGCACCAACTGTGCTAATGAAGACGAGCATTAGTGGGCTATATGAGGTCATTTTTGCCCTTGCAGTTATTGAATTCTATAACTGCCAAGGGTTTACGTGCAGGCTATAACGTGTACACGGGGCCTCGGATTTCGCGCCATCCAAACGACTAGACGCCGTTTCTTTTCGGGCTTTCCGTCGTGGAAATTCCTGGGAACTTTATCGCCCAAAACGGTGATCGAACCCAAGGCCAGCCAACGTGGTCCCTGTTTCAAATAACTATGCAGATGATAATTATGTTCTATTATATTATAGGGAATGAAAGACCATCCAAGCTGCAGGGGGACAAGATGACTTATCTTGATATAACTGAAGGGAACATTAATTGTTATCTTATTAACTGGCCATCTATATTGATTTCGTGTTGAAATTTGACGTTCATGTGTCAAATATACTACAGTTTATAGAAAGACTCCATTTCAAGTGTCTTTATTAAAGCGAATATATAGGCAATCATTTATCAATTTTATGGGAATTTATTTTGTTAAAGAGACAATGCGACTACTGCCTCGACTGTTTATAGTAAATCCAGTAAAAGTTTAAAACATCTGTGCTTGTATAAGCGTAAGCCGTATCTATAGCGCCGCGGTGATTAGTATCACCCAAATCTGCTAAGTCGCGTACAAAAGAAAGCCATGTATTGGTATTTTCAAATCTGAATCCAGCAAGTCTGCGCATAGACTACAGGCTGGTCAAATTTCGCGTGTTCTTCTTTAAAGTAGGCTGTTATTATAACTGGCAAACGACAAAGCCTATATTATAGAAAATTTGTATTCACATTGTACGTGAGCCTGCAGTTTCACATATCAGCAATTTGTTATAATTTTGATTCGTAATAGTAAGTAAAGGTATGGAAAAGAATATATTTTATTTCATCATAGCATCAATATGATTTAATGAAGATTTCCTGATGAATCCATGGAAGCAGTCTGACGGATTTGTCCGAGAGACAGAAATGGGGTTTAACGTCCACTCGACACAAACTAGGTCATTTCGGGACTAACATATGGTTTATTTTATTTCAATAATTCGCTTGCGCGTAGGGGTCTTTAGCAGTGGAAGGAAACCGGAGAAAACCCACGAGGTTGGACAGGCGACCCTACTCCTTGTCACGTATAACCGGGGATTCGAAACCACGCCATGTGACTCAATGACAGGCTTTATGATACAGCGCGCACGCGCTAACTATTCGGCCATCCAACCCCCCAGGATTTGTCCGTAATGTCCGACAACGGCTGATGAGACATCCATTCAAAACAAACTACTTATTCTAACCTCGGAAAGTCTTTTTGTCTTACCCCGTTCATGTGTATAGGCCTACACAAGCCAAGTTTGTTAATATTGCGGGTCCGTGTCATGGATTTTTTTAAGGTGTTGCTCGGCGAGTTAGGTGCTTGCAAACTTACCAAGGGGTACCCGAAACGCCGGTTTTGGTTCGAGAAAGTTTCTCTGAATTGTTCAACATTGCACCCTTTGTCAGTGGTGCTCCCTTTGACAGCTGGAATTCGACGAAGGGGAGGCGGAAATCCCGCTGCCCATGCAATATTTCCCCCACAGTACATGGAATGGCTGGCGTATGAACGTCTGCATTATCCCAGTTGGTGCAGAAAATTAGGACGTTAAACCACATTTCATCCACAAATACACAGAATTGCGAAATGATTTCGTAATAATTTATTTTAGTTGGCTGTAAATGAAATGACATTTCTTACAAATATGAGAAATTGATATGAATCACTATAATAAATTTGGGTAGTGTGTGTTAGAAGGTAAACACGTTGGCCAGAGGCGAATTGTAATTACTCATGTCAGTGTATGTATTTGTCTGTAAAACTATATGACCATAACCAACAGTTATACACTGTTATAAGTTCCTGTTGCCTATCAATCCATTTACTCTTCATGTATTGTCGTCCACATCTAAATCACTTATCAGCGGGCAAATCTGTTAATGTGAAAGTGACTAATCCTTAAAAAACATAACAAGAAATAAGTCCAAATTTTGGGTAGGTGGATAGAGTCCAAGAATTCTGATCTATAAAATAACTGTGCAAGGCAAGTAGAATAAAAAATATATAATAAAGATCAACACTATTTGTTTTACAAAACAGAATTATGAGACTAAGGTGTATATTGCTTGAATTGTAATTATTCAGATATATTCAAATAAATTGATGGCGGTTTCGTAGCACCTTTACAGGCAAATATTTTACATTTTCTAACTACCACATGCATGATCATTTTGCCGGATTGGCTTTGCAAATTTGCATAACGTGTCTGAACCTAACCTATGGACGATGAAGCCTTTTTGGCTCCTGCTTATTTGACTATAGTGGAACGAGACTGAGGGTGACTCCCCCCCCCCCGAGGTGAGATTATTATGTCTAGGGGCGTGGCAGCGTTAATTCTAATGAAAATGGCGTTTGAGGTACTTAAGGCGACGATGGTGATGTAAATGAAGGTAAAGGCATCACACAATATCTTCTGTGTACTCAAATGGTACATGCGTTACGTACAGTTCCACTCTTGTGGACCGGGTAAAGACGTTTAAATTACATTTTCTATGTCCAGCATAAAAAAGACACATTTAAATGTATTTTCAACGGACGAGAGCAGAGATCTAGGATATGAAGTGATCAATAGCACGCCATGATAATTTTTCTAACCAACGCCATACACGTACGTATTCTGTACGGGGAATCACATGAAAGCTCACAATTTGGGGCCGAACTATATAGGTTGAATATAAATAAAACATGAAATTAAACTGGTTTTAAGGTGACCTTGTGAAATGAAGTACTTTTATTTATAATATTTAAATCTAAGGCAATTTTCATAACGAACTTAAAATGCAGCATTAAATACAACCTGTAATTAAAAAACAAACTATGTCTAATAAACGGTACGGCAAATACGGAGAATTGGTATAATTAATGAGTTTTCACTATATAAAGCCCTTATACTTTATAAATTGTTAAATCCAAAGGAAAGACTGTCGAACGAGATAAAACCGAATTTTAAGGAATTTTTTCACAATTATATCTATGTCATTTATTTCTAGGCTGATTCTTCTGATACGTTACAATGTAAGTAGGTGGATCGCTGGAAGTAACGCGGGAGCTGTTTGGAATTGTGGTTCGACTCCTACAGACTGCTTGCATTTTGGCGGCTGAAGACCCTCTTTTACAATAAGTTGCCGGGGGAACTACGGCAGTTGGGCTTGATGAACACCCCCCGGAGGCTAATATTCTTAAGTTCCTGTTCACATCCTTCTTAACACAATTATTATGATGATAACTGACCACCTT